CTAGTTTATACAACTGAGCGTGCTTGTAGTTATATTTGTCGGACCATGCCACTAGGCTGGACTTGTGGGCTAATGACGTCCAGAGATTTGACTTGCAACCGTAGCCGCCTACTACATTCCGCTTAGGTCCTCAGGCTTCATACGCTAATCAAGTCATTGCCGACTTCATTTTTTTCACAGACCAGTCTTTCTAACCACAGTTCTCCTAAACTGACCTTACGGTCCTTCAGGCCTGTGTCGCTGAATAGGTCCAGGATGTCGACTCATCACGCCGAACAGTCTTCATGTACCCTTACTACGACATACGGTCCTTCAAGGCCTTCGTCGCCTACTATGGTTTCCGATCATACAACAGAACAACGGTTTTCTGACCGCAAGGTCTCTGCGCTACGGTCCTTGCAGAGAAGGCAAACATGAAGATATGGTAATTTTCTACTATGTAATTGCCTCAATGCCTATGATGTACATTTGTACCACTCAATCACAAGGCTATCTACCAAGGAGCCTCCAATTTGTAACGACTAAACACTAACTAGTGAATTCATTCAACGAGACGTTTGGTGACAAGACCCTCGTAGTGTTTTGTTCTACTCCCCTTTTCATGGGGTTTTTCCACGATAAAAACTACTGAATGTCTCTTTATGAATGTTTCACGTACCGCTCTTATATACATGCTTGTGTGCTGGACTCTTCGTACCAATGATAAGGGACGTTAAATATATAATTGTTCTTAATATCGAGATGAATATTCAAGGACGGCCAACACAAAGAGCGAAAAAAAAATCGAGTAAAAATACTCTTGAATTGTAAAATATATTAAAAATTGTGCTTCACAAATTTTTTCACATCGTTGGGAAAATTTCAATCGTGATAACTAAAATTGACAGTGTTGAGATGGAATTGAGCCTGAAAGTTATAAAACTGTTGGCGACCACAGAAGTACATGATCTGTGCCTGCGGCACATGGGCCTTCATGAAGGTATTGAAGGTCTCGAATGACTCAATTAGCTATTAATTTCTTTAGAATATGTAAATACTCAAGATATGATTTAAATAACGTAGAACAACATATAGGGCTATAGATTTTTTTTTTATTGCTATATATCATGCAAATGTTTTTCG